TCTGGAAAACATAGGTTTTTTTTAAAAGACTTATTTGTAAAAATAAAATTAAATGCCAAACATTTCTGCCACCTGCCCCCAAGACTTATTTTACATGTATCAGTACGTGCATGTATGTATATGCACAACATGTGTGCAATGCCCACAGAGGCCAGAAGAGGGTGTTAGATACCCTGAAATTGGAGTTGCAGTTGTATACCTCTATGTGGGTTCTGGGAACCAAATTAGGGTTCTCTGCAAAGGCAGCAAGTGCTCTGAACCACAGAGTCATCTGTCCAGTTCCAATATCTAGCTCTTACTCTCTGCTAGTTTTCAGATACTTGGTCCACACTGGGATATATTTGGGCAGAAAAACCAAATTTCTGAGAGCAGTATAGGATGATAGTGATGGCAGAATACAGCACTGGCTCTGCTGGTTTCTAATTTAGGGGACCCTGGGCACCTTACTTAGCCTCTCTGGATCTCTTATGAAAATCATAAACACTGGATTGCTGTGAGGACTAAGCAAGAGACTTGACTTTTTTTTTTAAGGCCAGACTTGTTTTATTACAATGCCTTCTAATCAGACTGGTCCTAGGTCAGCTTCTATAAAGACAGAGACCAAACACTGGTCTTAAAAGAGGTCAGTATGAGAGGTTTAAAATGCCATCTGAGTAAGTAGTTTTCTTTTGCAATGAGTAGAATGGGGGAGGCCAGTTGGAGGTTACTGCTGTTATACTATAAAAATGACTAAGGTTTGGATTAGAGCATTCAAAAGAGGAAAAGTTTATCTATCTAAAGATGATTCCAGACTCACTTAACTTGAGCAGTGCAGAATGGGTGTGGCTGCTGAGAAAGAGAAGGGAGCTACAGGCAGTGCTTGCCAGAGTCTGGAATGATTTCTCAGGATCTGGAGGGTGGGTCTTAGGAAGCCTTGAAAACTTGTGGGATTCTGATAGAAAGGACCTGGACACTCTCTGAAAAGCTCACGATTCATCTTGTTTCTTCCTCCATTAGCTAGTAGCACTTCCAAAGGTCAGCCCTGGACTTTCTAAAATAAAAGAAAAATTTTAAATATTTAATTTACCGTGTGTGTGTGCATGTGCACATGACATGCTACAGCATGTGGAGGTCAGAGGATAATCTTTCAGAGTCAGTTCTCCCATCATGTGGGTTCCAGGGAACCAACTCAGGTCATCAGGCTTAGTGACAAGTGTCATTACCCACTGAATCCTTTCCTCAGCACTCGACTTTCCAATATTCTGTTTCTAAGTTTATTACTGTCTGAAGATAATGATATAAAAACATGGATTTTCTGCTTTTTTAAAATTATTTTATGTGTGGGGCTGGAGAGGTGGCTCAGTGGTTAAGAGCACTGGCTACTCCTGCAGAGGACCTGGGTTCAATTCCCAGCATCCACATGGCAGCTAATAATCATCTGTAATCCCAGTTCCAGGGGATCTTATGCCCTCTTCTGACTTCTTGGGGCATTGCATGATACAGGTGCACCCACCTACATGCAGGCAATCACTCATATACATAAAATAAAAACGTAAATTTTTTAAAAATTAAAAAAATTATTTTATGTGTATGTGTGTAAGTGAATGTCGTATGTGTGCACATACCCGCCTCCAGAGACTAGAAGAGGGTGTCAGATCTTGGAGCTGGAGTTACAAGTAGTTGTGAGCAGCCCAACATGAGTGCTGGGAATTGCACTTGGGCCTCTGGAAAAGCAGCAAGTGCTCTTAAACTTCTGAGCCATCTCTCCAACCCTCCACTCTTAATAGTCCACTTTAACTCTTGTAACAATGTAAATGTTGGGGCTGGAGAGATGGCTCAGTGGTTAAGAGCACTGGCTGCTCTTGCAGAGGACCTGGGTTCAGGTCTCAGCACCCACATGATGGCTAACAATCATCCCTAACTCCAGTTCCAGGAGATCCAATGCCTTTTTCTGACCTTGGGCATTGCATGATACAGGTGTACTTACATACATGCAGACAATACACTCATAGACATAAAATAAAAATAAATAAAATGTTAAAAACAAAATGAACCACCAAAAATGTAATTGTTGACACTTCAATACACTTTCTAAATTTAAAGCATGTCTACCTCCTGGCATATGTGTCATTGCTACATATAAGTGTTCCCCTGAAATTGTTAATCAGATAGTGGTATTTTTGAGGTCACCTCTGGCTTTTGATTCTATCCCCAAAAATTTTCAGTTTCTAGACACAAGCAAGAACAGTGCTCACAGCAACCTTCTCTGCTGTCAGCAGGCATGCCCATTCTGCACTCCAAGTTTAGTTAACCTGGAATCATCTTTGTTAAAATTTCTCTCTTGTCTTTGTTCATCACTTCGGTTTTAGACACATTTTTCCTCTTTTGGAAGCTCTAATCCAATCTTAATTATTTTTCAGTATAATAGCAATACCCTCCATGCTGGCCTCCCCCAAGATCTATAGATCTATTCCACTACTCACTCAGATGTTATTTCAAACACAGCCATCACACACATTTATTTGGGAGGTTTTTGAGACAGTTTCACTATGTACCCCACACTGGCCTGGAACTTGTGATTCTTCTCCCTCCTGGGATTACAGGTGTGTATATCACGCCTAGCTACAACAATCCTTTGATATTCTACTTAGATCACAAGGTTTAAGACCTGAAGACACTCCTTCACTCACTTTCGCCTAGTGGCTCTCACTTTTCAATACCCTGGATCCAGGCTCACCAACACAGCCTACTCCATTTTCTCTTATCACTTATATTAAACCTTAGTCTGATTCCACAGTCCACATGCTTTTAACCGTTATATGATACACTTCATCAGAACATGGGCTTTCAGGTCAGCCTGTTTAGGTTAGAATCTGAGTTTCAGTATATATTGGTTGTGAGCATTTCTAGGCCTCCAGCTTCCTATGTAGATAGCAAGGAGAATGACAGTCCCATCAACAGAATCAACTAGCCTTAAAAGCTGTTGAAAAATCTATATAAACCATAAAGACAATGACAGGCACATGGTAAACACCCAGAAAGCATTAGTTACTACTATCTTCCCACTAATACACTGACTTCTAATCATATTCCTGGGGTCTGGAACACAGCAGGTGATACACGGACTGAAACAAGGAACCAACGCCCATTCTTGCTCTTAACATTAGTGAAACACTAATTGAAAGGCTCAAGTTTTAATTTGGAAATTTGACCTACCTTTAAATCCGAGTCAGCAGCAAATTTCTGTCCAATTAAAGCTGCATTCCCTCCTACATAGTGCTGTAAAACAGTTCAAGGCTATTAGTATTTTAGTCCAAGCATACAACCCAAACTTAATCATTTCTAAGGTTAAAAATACAGTCCTGGGCTGGGTGTGGTGGCACACACGTTTAATCCCAGCACTTGGGAGGCAGAGGCAGGTGGATCTTTGTGAGTTTGAGGCCAGCCTGGTCTACATAGTGAGTTCCAGGACAGCTGGGGCTACAAGGAGACCCTGTCTCAAAAAAGACAAAAAAAAAAAAATACAATCCTTATTTCTCCCCCCATGTATTTTGATTTTTTTTTTTTCTGGCTATTTGAGACAAAGTTCATGTAGCCCAAACTGGCCTCAAACTCACTATGTAGTTAAGACTATCTTGAACTTCTGATCCTCCTGCCTCCACTTTCCAAATGCTGAGATCACAGGCATGTACCATTAAACCTACCTCCCCCAAATGTTTTGAGGTGACTTTACAATAGAGAACACAAATAAGGTTAATAAAACATAGAAACAGACAAGGAGTAAAAAGGAAAGGTGGAGAAAGTAAATACGGTAACCAAAAACTTGATAAGGTTGCCTGAAGTACAAGCCAAATTGCCTTCCAGGCAGCAGAAGAGATAAAAGAAAACACTAAGGGCATGACTGGACCTTAGCATGACACCTTCTTTCCTTTTTTTTTTTTTTTTTAAGATTTTTTTTTTCTTTCATGTGTACAGGTATTTTGCCTGCATGTGAATGTATCATCTATGTGCCTGGTACCTGGGGAAGCCAAAGAGAGTGTTGAATCCCTTGGAACTAACTAGAGTTAGGGATGGGTGTTAGCTGCCATATTGGCACTGGAAACTGAACTGAGGTCCTCTGGAAGAATTCTAAGTGCACTTAAATGCTGAGCCATCTCTTCAGCCCCAACTCCCCCAACCCTTTTTTGAGACAGGGTCTTACTAGGTAGCCATGGCTGGCCTAGAACTCACTATGTAGATCAGGCAAGCCTCAAACTCAGAGCTCTACCTGCTTCTGCCTTCTCTGCCCTAAAATGTAACTGGGTATTTTTTGTTGTTTTACTTGTTGGGTTTTTTGAAACCTGTGATCCTTCTACCTCTGCCTCCTGAGTGCTGGGATTAAGAACATGCGCCATCACATTAGGCTATAAAATATAACCTTTTTTTGGTACTGGTGGGGTATAGAGAAATGGCTGAGACAGTGTCTTGCTATGTGGCTCAGGTTGGCTTTGAACTCATAGCAATCCTCCTGCCTCTGCCTCCCAAAGTGCTGGAATTACAGGCATGAATCAACATGACTAACTTAAAATGTGACTCTCTTTTTAAAAATCTTGTATTTTCTTTAACCCAATGTCCATAATACAGGTAAGCTTTGCTTTCCTTGGTTCCAATAAATTATGGTGACTTAACATTCGTCTTCCAACAACATTTGAGTTTCTATTATAAATATAAGCAACTGCCTAAGGTACAAACTTTGCTTCTTGACGTTTCAGTTCACAATTACTCCAACAGTAGATGTGCATCATTAGTAATGAATCAGACCATCTCTTCCCAGTCTGTGCATCTGTTACTGTATGTACAGACAGCAAAGCATCTGTGCTGCCTCTGTTTTCCAGTGTCAAATCAGTGTGAGATTCACTAAAATGAATAATCTGAAGAAAGAACTGGCCAACAAAGATGAAAGTATAGCAAAGGAAACAAAAGTGCTACTGTTAGAGGTAGAAAGAACAGCAGCATGGAGGAATGCTGACATTAACAATGTTCAGGAAAGTTAAGGTATTGTCCTAGTTTGCTCTTCATTGCTGTGACAAAATACTCTGACCACTACCAACTTGGGGAGGAAAGGGTTTATTTAGCTTACATATCCTGGGTCACAGTTCATCCGGGAGCCCAAGGTAGGAACTCAGGGCAAGAACATGGAGGCAGAAGCTGGAGCACAGGCCATGGAGGAATGCTGTTTACTGGCTAGCTCCCCTGGCCCCTGCTCAGCCTGCTTTCTTATGCAACACAGGCCCACCTGCCC